TTTATCATTTAAATGTATAAATTGAAAAAAAAATGCAAGTGTGGCTTGATTTGTTAGAAAATCTACTATATCAAATTTATGAATTTTCTGCCTTAAGATGTAAAATCCTTTGGAGAACAATATCGGTGGATTTTCATATTATGTTTATTAGGAGTTCAATGATTTTGTGAATTGAGAAGTAATATGAATCTTTGTTTATAAGAAGTTCTATGATGTTCAAAATAGTGAAGTTTAATGATTTTGAAAGTGTGAAGTACATTGATTGTAAAGTTAAAGTTTAATAACTTATTTAGTTTGAAGTTCCATAAAAGTGTGTTTAAGAAATCCAACGATTTGTGTAATAAGTTCAATGAAAAATTGATAATATGAAGTTCTGTGAATTGTATACGTGTCAATTATAATATGAATGTGCATTACATGATCTTGAGAGGTAGGAGTTCACCTAGAAAAAAGAGTAGATGATAAAATTCACGTGGTAAGGCCTATCCGTGAGATAGTTTGCCAGATTGATTATATCTATATTGTACCCCTTGCCCAATGAGGGACATTTCTACTAGTTCAATGAGGGACTCAAACCTAGCTAGCTATCGGCCAGTTTAATGAGGAGGCTAGTCTAGGGTGTATGACAACCTATAGTGTGAGAAACAGGAGAAATCGTGTTCCATAAGTGAGTTAGATGCACCTTAGTCGGGTAATCCCCTCACGAGTGTTTAGGCTAGGGAAGTTATGGAATATAGACTATCCCATTGAGTTATAGTCCACAGTTTCATGTCAGAGAGATAAGGAGGATATAAGGGAGGTGTGATCATGTATATAGTAAGTAAGGGCACTTGTTATCTGTATCGTGTTTCTAATGATGATATCATGAGTTGAGTCTTAATTTCTTTTAATATATTTGTTAATGAATTGTGTGACCACCTCTCTTTATATGAAAAGTGCTAAAAAGCATTGTTTCTCAAGTAAATGTTATTAGGTGGGTGAAATTGTGAATATCTATCTTCAAATGTTTTACATAGATGTTAACTGCCACTTGCATTTAAACTAATTGATATACATTAATATGGGTTAGTTAGACCTTGATTACTCAGTAGCTGTAATCATCCCATTATCTTTAATATTATAGAAAATAGCTCAAGGGGTGTGGATAGAGGAAAACACCCTGAGGCTTAGGGCCGCGATCCTTTTGTAGTAGGCTTTTTTATTTTGAAAAATTATATGTGTATGACAATTTTAATTGCCAATTAGGAATTCTCATTTGTTCCTTATTTGCATTATGTGAATTGTAAATTGTAAGTATATTTTATGCTCTAGAAAGTGAGTTAATGAATATGTGTTATTGTGATAGGGCCAAAATACTCATGTAAGTGAGAGTAGAGCATATTATGAGATAATTTGGGAGAACTTGATGAAAATTGTGATAAACTCTTCCCTTTTTATGTTTTTGAGTTTAAGCGGTCGAACAGTGAAAATTTAATCTAGGAGTATTTCATGTGATATGGTGTATTATACGAGTTAGTCTTAATTGTTTGTATATGGTCAAATTGGTGTTGGTGGCTATTGGCTTTTGGTATTTGGTTTGGACATTTGATTTTGTGAAAATTATTGTAAAAGTGTAAGTTTTAAAAAAGGCATCAAATTTTTGTTTTAAAAAGAATTGGAGTCTGAGATCAATGCCATTACTTAGAGTTCAGAAAGAGCTTTTTGTAGACACCTAGTTCGCGTCATTCGAATGTCGGATGGAGATTTGTGGCGCATCAAAAATTGGTCCTAATGTTGTCAAATTGATAGTATAATTTACTATCAAAATTCGTGCAATTGTGCCATGGCACATGGTGTCACGAGTTGTGGCCCGTGTCACAGAGGTGAACACATAGCGGCGCATGTTCAATGAGCCGCAGCACGCGCCTCAAAATTTTTCAAAAATTCTCTTATTTCAAATTCTTAAACAAATACACTCACATAAGTAATGCTCTCATGCTTCCGCATATTTATGAACTCTAATTTATTTAGTTGCGAGACTTTGAAAATGATTTTAGTTTTGTAAATTTGAGGTCCCCATTTTGCTAATTAATGAAAATTTTATATTTTAATAATGACTATAATTCTATTCCCTAATTATTTAGAATTTAGTTTTAATGAGATTAAAAGGAGGAGGATATTACATCCTTAACATCGTAAGTCTGGGGCTTTGCAGTAGGCATTTTGTCTTCCTCTATATCTGCAAGGGCTGAAAAGTGAGAATTTGATACAAAAGGGGCAGCTTTATGTTTAGCTTTTCCACCTTTTTGGTAAACTTTCTGCCGGACCTGCTCTTGTCTTCTCGATACTCAAGCAAAGTTTGACCTTGGAGGAAGCAACCAAGTGCTAAAAATATTACCTTTTTGAGGTATCTTCTTCTCCGGCTAGGTTATCACAGGTGTTAGAGTTATTGTATTAACGCCACCATCCCCCTTATTAGAACTTGAATAGCTTCTCCAGGGGCAATGATCATGCCTATGCCTATACCAGCCACATTCAAAACAGATAATGTTTAACCCTCATACTCCACATTAAACAAACTTCCACCTGCAATGATCCTAGGAACCAATTTTTTCTGCAAATTTAACTCCACACATAATCGAGCATGTCTACCTCTCTCCACTTTAGTTTCTTTAGGCATAAAGTCAGCTAACATTCTCATATCTACTTTTAAAGTTCTTCCAATCCTGTCTCCCGACCTCGATATGACACTACTATTATAACAATGCATAGGTACATTAGAAATACATACCCATGTAGCGATTCAGCCTAAGGGATTCAAGAAGGGATCAAAGTAGGGCGTCTATCTCTAAACCTAGAGATAGTATTGTCTTATCATCTGTGGCCCTTCATACAGAACCTTTTTATGATGTAGCTTCCAGTTATTTGCATTAATAAATTGCACTGCAAAATAATTATTAGGCAAGTCCATAATCTTAAAGCTACTAAACCCCCATAAACGAGTTAAGCAGTCTCCAAGCAAGTAAATGTTGAAATGTATGCCCAAAACAGTAACCACCAAAGCATAGTTCTAAGGTTTGCACCACTCATTGAACTCCTCCTACGAAATAGAACCTCAAGATATTCATCTCTCAAGTTTTGAATCTCCTTCGATATTTCTAGGAGCTTTCAAACTATTTCTTCATCTTCTATTAGTATGTTGTTATCTTCCTTAAAGAAACAGCTGCTATTGGCTACCTTATTAAACCCTATTAAAGAGTCTTTGTATGAGAGGATCTTTAGGCCATCATTATTCTCTGATTTGTCAGCTTGTTATGCATCTACGTTGTCTTCATGTTGATGTTTCTCATCCATGCAATCGTCCATAATTTCCTGGGGGACTTCTTTTATCTTTGTCTTCTTGTTTCGCCTATCCTCCCCAGTGTCTGAAGGACGATCAGGCAGTGTTTTACGTTGGCCTAAGTCGGCCATGAATGGCAGAGTGAGTGACACAGTTCCTAATAGAGAGAAAGTCTAAACCCAAGAGTTATGGAACATAAAAAAAAAAAGTTGACAACTTTTATAAAGTTAATGAGTACCTTGCATCATTATTAACTTAAAAATAAGCTCCTAGAAAAAGTTTTTGAGTATTTTGGTACCTCAACTTATTTTTAAAATGAGGATTTATAAATCTTGGAGAAATATTTATAAATGATAATATTTAAATTATTAGTTTTTAAATATTTAATATATTTAATAGTTAATATTGAATAAGATGTTATAAACATAAATGTAATGTTTTTTTAAATTTTTTTATTGATGTTTGCAGCACTGGTGAACCAATAATCACTTTGTAGTCGATTAAAATTATTGGTTAAAATGATATTTTTGCCTTTTGCTATTTTCACTAAAAAAATATAAGGCATTTTTTTGAAATAAGATGTTAAAAAATATAAATATTTTGAGTATTTGAAAGTGCAATTAGTGAATCTCTGCAAAAATACCCTTAATTAAGAATGTAATTGATAATTGATAATATTTTCTAATTGACACAATCTAAATAGGGATAAACATGAAAAAAAGTATGTAACTTTAAAGACAATTAATTAGTTCATTGGAATATGACTTGATTAAAAATATTTTATAATATTGAACAAAGAAAGTATATTGTTAAGAAATAGTAGTATTAGTTTATTATGATATCTTTGTAATTTAGATTATTAAATTGGTACTAATTTTTTAAAAGGTCATTTTCTATAAATTTTTTAGCCTATTTTTATAATTTTCAAGGTCATTCTCTATATTTCTTAAAGTAAATTTGACCAAATTAACATATATTTAACTGATGGCAACATTGCTCTATCACTGTTGACTGGAGGGTGTCCAATGCACATGAAAAATGTTGATAGTTAAATTAACACTTTAATCCTAAATAAAAATGACAGAAGTATATAATAAATAAAAAATTATTTAATTTTTATAATTTTAATTTAATTATAACTTCATATATAAACTCTAATTTATTGTAACTTAATTTTTATAGTTTTAACTTAATTATAATTTAATTTTTAAATTTTTAGTTAATACACCACAATTCATAATTATAATTTAATCATTTAAAATATTAGTCTTTATATTTTAAAAATAAAATTATAAATATAAAAATTATTTTGAAACTTAATATTATTATTTTAAATTGTTAAAAATTTTATTTTTATAAATATTTAATAATTTTATTTTTTAAAATATAAAGATAAATATTTTAAATTAATAAATTATAGGGATTAAGTTATATAAAGTGAAAATTTAAGGATTAAATTATACTCAAGTTAAAAAAAATAAAAAAAATTAAAGATTAAATAAAAATAAGGGATAGTTATAATTGTATTAAAATTGAAAAAACAAGTAATAATTTTGTCAAAAATAATTAACTAATCAAATTTACTATTATTTATAACAACTTGCATTGAAGTCCGGTTCGGACCATACTGATACTATCCACTTGCCCGTGTAAAAAATGAAGGGAGAATCTTCACTAAGGAGGAGGGCCTTCCGATCCGGCCTCGACCATCCTGATCCAGCGATGGCTTAATATCTCAGAACCTGGTCAAAAAGTCAATCCTCACTGATTTCTCTCTCCTCGGCCTCGCTTCTAATCATCCCACAGAGAGAGAGGGGGGAGTGGGAGAGAGAGAGGGCGAGAGGGACGAAGAAATGCTAGAAAACCCTCCTCCCGCACAATTACAATCGGCAGCAACGGATTCGCCTGCACCTGTTAAGCGCTATGCTCCTCCGAATCAGAGGTAAACATGGCGTTCTGACCCTCTTCTTTGTGAATGAATCACAAACTGTGTTCCTTTGTTTCTAATTGTCTTTTTCTTTGCATTTCGCCCCCGATTCTGCAACTGGATCGCAGGAATCGTTCTAACAACAGGCGCAAGTCTGCTGGTCAGTCTATTTGTGATTCCCTTTCTTTTGAATGATTGATTTTACTTCTACACGTGTTTAATATTATTAAAATTTGTGGCTGATGTGCTATTCACGTTGGAATATGCTGCCGAATCTGTCTCAATTAGTTTCTCTTTCAAGGCAAGATGTTTTGTTACTAAATTCAGCAATGCCTCAAATATATAGACCCTTTTGTTTAATGAGTGGGAATTCGTGTTTTTTATTTTTGGGGTTAAAAACGTTGGAGTTTTCTGTTGCGAGCTATTTCTTAGCGGTCACTCAATTATGGATATGTATTCTCTATTTTCCTTTATTAAATTGCCCCTCCTACGACGTATCATGTTTGTCTGGTTTGAAGAGAAGGCAGTGACCAGGAACCATTGGTAAAAGCTTGACTAGAGCAGAAAGTCTTGTATGGGTTGTATTACTGTTTATGGAAGGGCAAATATAAACTTAAAAAACAAAATGCTCCAAAGATTTTTGGACCAAATAATCTGGCTGAAACAAGTGTGATTCCTGACCAAATTATAGCTTTTTTTAAAGATTTCATAACTCTATATAGTTTGTCTGTTTTTTGGTTTTCTGCTACCTGCTGCATGATAAACAAACAAACAAATGAATGAATGAAACTTTGTCAATGTATTTCCAAATCTTTTGTTATTAATTGGAAAAAATTAGCTATGAGAAGTTTGAAGCTTGAATATCCTGGAGTGGATGTGAATCATGCGATCTAACTATAGTGATTTTAGATTCTTGTCTTGCTGGAGTTTCTTCTGTACTGTTCAAGCAATTACTGTGGCATTTCCTGCAACTCTTAGACTCGGGGTCTTGCATATAATAGAGTTTGAAATCATGAAGAGAATTGACTTAGGAGGCAGAACACAGGGATTCAAGGCTTAGAAACCAGAAACAGTGATAACTCTTGAAGAATTGTGAAGGAGAGAATGAAGTAGAAAATGAAATGCTTGGGAATGTAGATCCATGAAGTGAAATTGAGAGAAAGAAATCAGCCTCTTTTAAGAGCAACTAAAATTGCAAAGAGATGAATATGAGATCGTTATCACTCTCATAAGTAGTGCTACCATTTTTCTGAAAGAGAGTGCTGGGGCGCTGTGTCCTTGTCTCTCTTTTTCTCAATTAGATTGATCTCTTCTTTGGTTTGATGGCAAGAGATACAAACATTTGTCCTCTTTGGTATGGGGTTAAGCTTCTTCTAAGGCTGGGACTCTCAAGCATTGAGAATAAATTAGACAATTTATCCTTTTAAGAGAAAGAATTGTACTGAAGTTTGTAGCGGGCTTCATCATTATAAATAGTTATTAGAGAATTTGTCTGAGATCATAATTTCTATTACATGGTTGTTAGTGATTTGTCTCCTATATTAGTTTATTTATTACTTAGTCTAGTCAAACGTCATGATAATTTATGCATTAGTTTTGCTTGATTGATGATTAATTTTGCGGGATTAGATTGGAGGTTTGTCTCCTTATGTTCCCTTTATACGTACTCCCTTCTTATTCAATGAAATTCGAATTCAAAGTTCAAATTCTTTGAACTTTCACAAAATTTGTTGTTTCATTAACATTACAACATAAAAATAGACCATATTTGCATTTATACAATATTCGGTGGAAAATGGAAAAGCTGGTGGGGCATTCGTCATCTATTTCTGTTCTTAAATATGACTGTTCTATGTTGCTAATATCTGGTTATTGATTATTGATTAGTTTCTGTAAAAATGTGTAGATGGTCTTGATCGAGCAAACAGTCTTGGTAATGATCTAGAAAAGAATCAATATGCTTCAAGAAGTGTTCCAGTTACTGATCATGGAGATGCTGGTGGCAGTAATCATAAAGAGAATCACTATTCAGGCCTCGTAGGATTAGAAGGGTGTAGTAATAGTGTAGCTTCGCAGCTTTTGAATGATCGTATGTATCTCCAACTACTGCTTGCAAAGAGATTTTGTAAATGTTAATTACATATTTTCTCCTATATTCAACAAGCTTTCTATCTTAGCAAAACTGTGTCAATGACTTTGCTAGAACTAATTTATTCAGAATGACTTATTGAACCTTTTTTAGCTTAGATTCAACAACCAAGATAGGCTGCTATGGTTCTCTGTAGAATACTTTGTTGTTAATTTGATATATGTTGGACTCTTAATTTTTTTTTTAATTTTCTTTTGTTATATAAGGATCAGGTGGCTTTTGTTAGATTGTAAGGTGTTCTGGGGTTGTTTAGAATCAGAATTTAAAATATTTTATCCATTTGATTTGATTATCACATTCTTTATGCATTTCTCCTTTAAATTTTTCTGTTTCCAAAGGAAATCCCAAGTCTAACAAGAATTATCAACACCATAGTTTCTTTTGCACTTGATTTATGTCAAGTTTAAGTAACTTACAAGATTGGATCTGGTTCACCTTTATCTACGCTTTAATTTTCTGTTTTTCTTTTCTTGTTTCAAATTTCTTTATCAACTTGAGAGCTCCCACCATAGAATTTGTATGGATAATGAGGAATTAGTAAAATTCAGCATAGAAACCAATATTCTACTGAAAAATATTAGTATTAGGGGATCTAGTTTATATATATTGATTTCTTAAACTCACTACTTGTTAGCTGCATGAATGTGTAACTTTCATGCGAGTAGAAGAGTCTCTAAGTCTTTTGACTATATTTAACTGTCCATGACACAGAATTTGCACTTGTTGGTTTAGTGAAGTGAAAGAAGGGAAGGTACAAATAAGGAAAATCAAGCAATGATTATTGTTCTTTTACTTTTACGATTTATCCATGCTTTTCAATATCTGTTATCTCTGTTGTTGGTCATAATTCATATATTTATATTTTAGGTTGGACAGCTGCAATGCAGTCCTACAATCATTCCAAGGATTCATCTGGTGAGTGGATACCATTGAGCTATGATAAATTTTTCCATTGTTTAAAAAAGTTATACTTTGTTGTTGTTGTTGTTGTTGTTTATTTATTTTTTGATGATGATGGAACTCGGACTGGACTAATCTGGATACGTGAACTGAAATTAGGTCCTCAGTGAAACAATAAATTGAGACAGACAAAGTATTTAGATAAACAAAGTTTTCACGTGTTAGTAGGCAGTTTCTGTCATTGATTTAATGCTAAATTTGCTACTTGGTAGGAGGAAACAAGTACTATTGTCTCAAATAGTGTGGGATCTAGCTCTTGCTGTCCCGTTAGAGCCCAGCATTCATTGCTATCAAACCGGCTCTCTTAAGCCTTCCTTTACCCCTTTTAATAGGGCTCAAAGTTATATGTTCCACTCTTCTCACTAGTGCCTCTCACAATCTTCTTTATACATGTCCAAACCATCTCAAACAATTTTCTACCATTTTTTCATCAATAGTTGCTACCCTCACTTTTTTGTGTACGTGCTCAGTTCAAATTTTATCTTTACGTGTATGTCCACACATCCATCGTAACATTCTCATCTCTACTACTCCAACTTTATGTTCTTGCTGTCTCGTTAGAGCCCAGCTTTCTCTTCTTCTGGGTAACGCTTGCATCCTCTGTCTTACTGCAGTTGCTAGCACAGAGTTAGCCGATGCTTATTTCCCAGATACCGTCATTCCTTCTTCTCCGGGAAAAGGAGTTAACGACCCGTAGGCCTTCTACCTCCAAGCGGCATTGCTCCGTCAAGCTTTCGCCCATTGTGGAAAACTCCCCACTGTTGCCTCCCGTATGAGTTTGGGCCGTGTCTCTAAGTGAATGCTAGGCTCTAACGGGACAGTAAGAGCATAAAGTTGGAGTAGCAGAGATGAGAATGTTACCGATGAATGTGCGGACATACACGTAAAGGTAAAATTCGAAATGAGCATGTACACGAAAAAGTGAGGGTAGCACCTATTAAAGAAAAAATGGTAGAAAATCATTTAAGATGGTTTGAGCATGTACAAAGAAGACTGTGAGAGGCACCAGTGAGAAGAATGGAACATATAACTTTGAACCTTATTAAGAAGGATAAAGGAAGGCCTAAGAGAACACTTTTGAAAGTTGGAGAATGCGATCTCTTAATTAATAATATTTCTAAAAGCTTAGTAAATGATAGAGCACAATGGTGTCTTGCAATCCATGTAGCCGACCCACCTAGTGGGATAAAGGCTTGTTGTATGCAGTAGAAAAATGATCTTGCTCATTTAATACACAGTTATTAGCTAGTGATGTTAAACCATCTAATAAAAAATGCTTGTTTCTTTCGTGATTAAGTTAGTAGTGTTGTGGTCTAGGATAGGTTTTTCTAATGTTTTAATCAAGAATTATGTTATTCGTACATGTTTTTCTAATGTTTTAACGATGATTAGGTCTTTGAATCGAGTTACCAATTTAAACTGTTCGAAACATTAAATACGTAATGAAAGAGTTTTCTCGTATTGTCCCTCTTCTCTTCACTTCAAGAAAGTTTTTCATTAAAAAAAAAAAACATATAATAGATAGTATACGGTAGTATTTGATCAATTATTATGTACGCAGATGCTGCCTTATCCTTGATGCTGGTACTCAGACCTTTTTTTTTTCTCTGTTTTCACTTTAAATTTCAGAAAAGCCAGTTATGCACTCAGGAGGGACAGCAGCATGGACTCATTTAAGACTTCCTCATCAGGTAAAAGCTTGAAGTTGTTCAACTTCTCCTCTCCTCTCTCAATCTTTTAAAGGGAAATGTTACTCTGATCTTGCTTGAGAAATGCCCAAATTACTTGATCCTTTCCTCTATTTTGAAAATTCACTTTTTTTTGGAAAAAATATAAATCGCATTACATTTGCAAGAGATTAGTTAGTGAATATACTCATGTTGATTAAAATACTCTGTACATATCATTAACACGCTGTAACAATTAGCTAGTTGGGGTTCCCATAAATTGAATGGAGTTCAAAGAATAAATCACATTATTTACTACTTGTGAAAATTGAGAATAACTTAAATTTATGCTTAACATAAAATAAATAACATTTAAATAAAATACTAAAAAAAATCTAAGTTAAGCTTTTATAATAGGGGAAATCAATGTCAGTGTTTCTGGCAAAAAAAAAAAAAGTGAAGATATTTTGGTTATATCAAGTTTTAGAGGAGCTTGTTTATGCTTTTTTTATGACATAAGGAATGATGGTAGAATTTATCTGAGGGCTTGTTTGATTGTTTTCTGATATTTTTTATTTTTAAATGCTGTTTTGTGATACAGTTTCAGAATTGTTTTTCAAAACAAAACAAAAAATCTGTGTGATTATGCTAATGCGCAAACAATTTTAGAGTTAAAAAATTGCTTGATATTGGTGGTTGCCAGTGATTTATGATGTTGGCTTATGATAGTAATTGACTGTAACTGTAGGTGGTTTCTAATAATCAAATGTAGCATGTTTTGAAAAAAAAAACAAAACAAAAAAAGAAAACAACTTTAAGGTATTTCTATTTTTTTTTTCCTTTTAAAACCAGAAAGTAAGAACAGTTTTGGAAACATTTTAAATCCAAAATCACTTACTCAAACGAGTTTTTTTTTTCCCCCCAAAACAGAAAAACAGTTTTTGAAGACGAAATCAAACTTGCCCTAATTCTTAAATTCTCGGCTTTCTTTCAGATTGTGGCATCATCACCAGGTAATGCCGCCTTTGTTTCACAGATGGACTTCCTGGGAGAACTTCGCCGTCAAATGCACAGTGCTAATTCTGCATTTGACTCCTGATCAGAAGACATGATTTCCTTAGACAAGTTCTTGACTCATCCTGGATTTGCTGAACCACTTGCTGATATTCAATTACCTGTGTTGTCTGAGACTAGTGCTGGTTTTGTGGTATGTCAAACAATATATAATGTATGTAATAGGGGATCCTATCAATAGTCTACCATGCCCATTTATGCATTGGGTATACTATATGGTCCTATGTAATTCACATGTTTACATTTGCGCATGTCTGATTGCTACTTGCTAGTGTGATTCCAATTGTCTAAACAGTTTAGATATTGGAGCTTGCTCCTTGGTGTCTTTCAAAGAGGAAAAATCCCTCAGATGGTTTGGGAATCCGGACTCTAACCCTTGGTTTGGATGGGGAGAAAAATAGGGAGGGAGAGGAAACCAGGAAACTAGGAGGGAAAATTTCCAAAAATAGTAAAAAAAAAAAAAACTATTTTAGGAACCTTTTTCATAGTTTTCTTTCTTCCTTACTTTTGATTAGAAGCAATTTTCTGTTGCTTGGGAAAAAAAATCTCAGTTGAAGATTTTTTTTAAAATGCATTTCTCTGTTTTGCCCTTGAATTTTTGTCTCTGTTTTGATTATAAGCACTTCTTCAATGTATTTCTAGTGAGTTTTAACTTTCTGCAACTTTTCTTTAATGTTTTTATGGGGTCTTCAATGGACGCCAAGCCAATTTTTCAAGTTCTGGTTCCACAAAAATTTTTCCATCTTCATTGTCTTCCTAGTGGCCTGCAATTTTTCACTCTTTTTGTCCAATGTCTTTTTAATGGTTTTCAAGGGATACTTGGAATTAACTAAATATTTGAATGAAAAAGTAAGTATACATTAAAATATAATCAGTTAATTAATGTGGGACCTATTGTATGTGAAATAAATATGTTTGAATTAAAAAGTGCCACAATGTAATTGATCGACTGAATATTTGATGTAGAATTTCAGGACTTAAAACAAGATTTTAAGGTAAAAAAGAATGAGTGATATGTTCCTATACGATTGGTTCATTAGTACGTGTTTTACTTTATTTTCATATCTTAAATCAAAGGTCTTTTTCAGAAAGAAGCTTCTAAATTCACATTCGAATTTATTTCTTTGTAAGACCATGATGCTAATCATTTTTAGCAAATTTCTTTCCCATTTAATCATTTTAACTATTTTCCTAGTTGGTAATAAGATGCCCATTTGAATTTTAGTTGGGTATAATAGATTACGAAAATAATTTATTAAATAATAGATTTTAATTTAATTAATTATGTTATAACACAATTTGTTTGGATATTATTTTTTTAAAATTAATTTTAACAGAATTGAAGATGTTTGGATAATTTATTCAAAATTAATTTTAATTGTATAAATTCTTATAAATGACATTGTCTTTCAAAATTAAATTATTGATAAATTTGTATCTAATATTATTAAAGTTGTTACATTTTATTTAAAAAGTAAAATATATATTTAAATTACATATTTAATTAATAAAAAAATTTAAATTACATTAATATTAATATTTAAATTTATGGAAATTAGTAACTCAATATATTTTAGTTAAAATAAATTTAATAAAAAAGAAAGATTTAATTTTTAAATATCAAACATCAATTTTACAATAACTAATGAAGATGATAATATATAAATTGATTTCTAATGACATCATGGATATGAGTCATATCTGACGAAGATATTAAACACTGCCTTAAAATTTTGGCAACATAAAAGATTTAGTAATTTAACAAATAATGTAAAATCTCTCTCTCTTTCTGGACTTTTGTAACAATCTTTATAATGACCCTCAATTTTAAATTAAATTAAATTAATTTTCTTCTACAAATTAATATTTTATTTGAATTAATTTTATAACAAATGTTAAGTGAAAGGTAATCGTTGACAGGAATTTATACTAACAATTTTTTTAAAAATATAAAGTTTGAATTTTACTAAGAAAAAGAAAAAGAAAAGAGAGTTTAATTTTATTTTTATTAAATTTTATACCTTTTTTAATAATTTTTAAAAAATTTTTTTTATAATTTTTTCCAATGCCTTTGTAAATTTGGAGGCAAAAGCTGACTCTTTCAGCTTTGGCAAAAAAAAAAAATGCTTTTTGTAAGAAACTGGTGTTTGGATAATTGACACCAAAATCGATTAAATTGGCTTTCCAAGCAAGTTGAAGGACTCATTGGTAAATTTGGTAAAAATGAGTGACTTCCTTAGAAAAGTATGTTAGGAACTAAGGATTGCGGTCCTCTTGGAAAATGAGGTGAGGAAGTGGAGTGACTAAATTACTCTTATGATTGCCTTTGAAAGTCTCTAAATCCAAAAATGAAGTTGTGTGAGAAGTTAGCGATGACCGAAGATGTCAAACTTTGTGAAGGAGATAATAAACCACTCTCTTCAAACTACAATATAAATAATAGTTAATTAATTTATATTTTACAAATAATATTATTTGAAACCTTAAATTTTTTAAAATATTTGTATCTTTTTTATTTATACATTTATTAAATATATTATATAAGAGCTTTGATAATAGTAACTAAAATTTTAATGCTTTATTTTTAAAAAAAGAATAATAAATAAAATAAGAACATAATTGAAAAATCAAATATAAAAGGTATCAAATGTATTATATTATGAACTAGATAAGGCTTTTAACAAATATCTTATATTATAGTAGAAGAGAGCAAAAGTAGCACCAAGATGGTAGTGATGTAGTCTAGTGAAAAGTAGCTTGATCATTGTTAAAGCTGGTAATTCGAGCTGAGCCCGATAGGCCAGCCTAAATAAATTCAAAAAAAATTAGGATTGAGCTTTGCATTTTGAGATAAAACTAATACTTTGGGCCTCTTCGGGCCACCCGAATAGGCCCAAATACCTATTTTGTTAATTTTTTTCAAAAAAATGAAGCTAACTGCCTGTGCACATGCTAACACAGGAGCAGCCAAGCATTAGTAAGTGAGGTGAGCTGGTGAGGTCCATGAGAGGCTAAGATTGAGAGGCGAGATGCGAGTTCAAAGAAGTAAAAAAAACCCTAAAGCCTAAAATTGCTTTCTCTATTTCTCATTCAAAGTTTTGAACCATTAAATGTTCAAAATCTTTAGATCCAATGAGCGTCTTGATTGTCTTGCTTTTCCTCACACTAAACTATGTTGAAGCTAAACTCTGAAGGTTGTAGAAGAAAAAGACCAAACCCATCAACAATCATTACTTCCTCTTCCTTACCGGACTTTATCGGACTTCGTCGACAATAGTTTCTTAGTCTCTCTCGCACAGTCGCACTCGCTCTCATTGACGAACAGCTGTCACTCCTACTTGCATAATCACATTCTCAATCTCTCTCAGACTACACAATTGCTCGCAGTCTCTCACTATCTCACACTCGAGCTTCATCCAGAGCAAAAAAATTAGAACCCATTGGCAAAACAAGCTTTATCTAGACTAGAACCCCCTAACATAACAAGCTTCGTCCAGACCAGAACGGCAGAACTTGCTGGTTAGGTTTTCTTCCTCTTCTTTCTTTTTCTCTCATGCGTACTGTCATGCTCTGTTTTTATCTGTTTGATTACTCAAGACTGAAATCTCTGCTCTGTTTCGATATCTGATGGCATGCTCATTATCTACTTGATTGCTTGGCCAATCTTCAATTCTGTTTGCTTGAGGTTGTTTTTAAGCTAGCTTTACCTCTGAGTCTACCTCTGGTTGTGTTTACTTAAGCTTGTTTTTAAGCTATCTAAGATTGCCTCTGCTTGAATTTCAATGGTTGTGTTGTTATATGGAATTGAATATCTTAAGCCCCAGTTTTAACTTTTAATGAAGACATAGACACATAGGATGTTAAATTGATGTTTAATTTTCAATTTTATGCAGTGAAACATGTCTTCTAGTCAAAGGAAGAAAACTAATGAAAATGTGGATGGTATTTCTTATAGTAAGGTAGTTGATAATGTGCGTGACAAGGGTAAAGTAGTTGATATTTTTTCCTTTCAAAAGAATAATGAGAAAAAATTACTTGTCTCTACAATTAAATCAGCTATCTCAGCAAGTAAGAAATCCGTTGCCTTTACAAGTAAGAAATCCGTTGGTTCTGGTAATTATAGTAAAAGAACAAGTTTTGAGAAAGAAGTGAGCCACCTGTTGCTAAAAGATTAAAAACTTGTATATTTGATGTTTGAAAGTCATTTTCTAGAATTGTAGTTGATGGGAAAGTAAAAGCCTAATGTAATGGTTGTAACAAAGACCTAATAGGATCTGAGGCTGATGGCATATCTCATTTAGCACGACATACTAAAAATTGTCTCCAACTTGCTAAGTATCATGATATTGGATTGATGATGATGGACAGAGAAGGAAAATTGAGGTCTAGAAAGCTTAATAATAAGTATGTGCGAGAGGTTTTATTTATGATGATAATTGAACATTATTTGCCTTATTCCATGGTTGAATATAAATAGTTTAAGTACTATTCTTTAATGTTGAATCCTAGTATAAAGTGCATTACTCAAAAAACAACTATGTCTGATGTTACAAAAGTCTATCAAGGGCATAAAGAAGCATTGAAACAAAGATTGTTGAAAAGTATTGATAGAATTTGTTTAACATTTGATTGTTGGACTGCTATAACCTCTAAAGGTTATTTATGCTTAACTGCTAATTTTGTTGATGAAAATTAAAAATTAAATAGTAAAAATACTTTCTTTTGTAAGATGGAGCCTTCACATTCCCAAAAAGAATTAGCTAAAAAAGTTTATGATTGTTTGATTAATTGGGGGATTATTAAGAAAGTATTTTCCATCAGTTTAGATGATGCCTCTGTAAATGATAATATGCAAGAAATTTTGAAACAAAGGTTAATTTTGCAAGATAATGGGTTGATTTGTCATGGAGAATTTTTTCATCAAAGGTGTTGTGCCCATATCTTAAATTTAATAGTTCAAGAGGGTTTAAATGTGACAAGTATTGTTCTAAACAAGATTAGATATAACATTAAGTATGTCAAACAATAAGAGGCAAGGGAAATTTTCTTTCAAAAAATGTGTTGAAAAGGTTGGTGGCATTAATAGTTCAATTGGCTTGAGGATGGATGTGCCCACTAAATAGAATTCTACTTTTGCAATGCTTAAGAGTGGATTACAATACCGTAAGGCTTTTACTAGCTTTGCATGTGTTGATAATAATTTTACTCATTGCCTAACATATAAAGAGTAGAGGAGAGGAGATGTGTAATTTCTTGAGGCCATTTGATGTGATGACAAGGTTGATGTATGGGACATTTTATCCTACTTCAAACTTGTATTTTTCTTAACTATCAAAGATTCGGATCTCGTTAGATGATAATATGATAAATGGTGATCTCGTGATAGAAAAAATTGCTCAGAGAATGAAAGAAAAATTTGACAAGTATTGGAATGATTATAATAATATCCTTACAATTGCAGCTGTACTTGATCCATGAATGAAGATTCAAATGATATAGTACATGTATGCAAGGACTGATCCTATAAATTGCCCTGCTAAGATTGGGAGCATTCAAAGCAAGTTGAGATATATTTTTAATCAATACAAAGAGATGGATGCTCTTTCCTCAGATCTTGGATCAAGTTCAACAATTTTAATACAAGCAAATCAAGCTCAATCCTCCACTATTTCTAGTATTTTAGCTTCAACCATGAGTAGCAATATTCCAGGACTTTTAGATATAAGTTTAATTTCATGTTATTATTAATTTTATTGTTTTATTTTAATTTATTAGTTAGTATTTTATTAAATTTTTACATGTTGCAAGATTGGATTAATTATACAAGCATAGATGTTATGTCTGTTGGAAAGTCTGAGCTTGAATTTTATTTGGATGAGGCAATACTTCGACCCCAGGCATATCAAGATTTAGACGTTCTCAATTGGTGTAACACTAATAAGGGTAGATTTCCTATCCTTTCAAATATGGAAGCCGATATCGTTAGCATTCTTATCATTACAGTGGCAAGTGAATCGGCTTTTAGCATTGGCTCATGTGTTCTCACCAAATATTGAAGCAGTCTTCTTCCTTTTAATTTTAAAGCTCTTATTTGCACTTGTAATTGGTTAAGTGGTTTTCAATATGGTGGTAATATAAATTTAAAATATATGATTATTTTATTATATAATTATTAAGTAAAATTTGATTTCATTCAATTATAATTTAAAATTTTTTTCCTTTGTTGTCTTGTTGTAGATGGTGGAGATAAAAGAGGATTGAGGGAGAAGAGGTAGTGGAAGAGGAAGGAGAGGGGGAGGGGAGGGAGAGGAAGCGGAGGAATCACTTGAACTAAATCCAAATATGAATTTGTTTGCTATTGAGAGTGTAAATGTAGTTTTGGATGATGATGAGGAACAGAAGAGCCATAGGATTTGAATTTGGCTTGACTCTGATTTGTATTGTTGATTATTGTTATGTTTTAACTTTAATGTCATATTGAATGTATTGTTATTTTGTTGGATTATTTATTTTAGATGTTAAACTAGTATGGTAAACTTGCTTTGTTAGCTTGGATGGTTAAAAAAAATAGTATTAATGCATGTTGGATTATTATTTTGATGCAATTAGGTGGAAAAAATTATCAAAATCACAAAAAAAAAAGATCTATAATACAGGCATTCGGGCCAGCCAAAAGCCTGAAATAATTCAGGCCAAACTTGTTAATTTGGGCTTACAGAGAACTTAAATAGGCCTGATCTGTCTAAATTTTTAATTCTAATTATTGTTTTCCTCGCCTGGACCTTCTCTTTATTTTTCCTTGTATCCGTCATTTATGTTGTTGGAATAGTAATAATTTGCCATCTCCTTCACTTCACTCGACATCTTCGGCTCCTCGTACAGCAATCATAAGAGCAATTTGACCATCTCATTTCTTCAATGAATTCCTCAACAGGACCTTGATCCTTGAAAATACTTTTCTCAAAAGTTGGTCATTTATGCCGAATATGTCTACCAACGGGTCGTTGTTACCAATTTTTCCATTTCCCAAAGTTAAAATGCTAAGCGTCTTAACAAGTGACAACATGTAATTCAATTTTGCAAAACACAAAACCCATAATCTAAAGAGCAAAGGAAAAATGACAATTAGATCTTACATCATTAAATTAATAACAGTTAAATCTCTGATAAAATTTTAAAGAAAATAAGTTGAAAATATCGATTAAGATAATTTGCAAATTCAACAGTTTTAATTGTAAATAAATATCTAAATATCAAATGTAATTATCAGATTATAACAGGAATTTTTGTTTTTAGTTGTTATTTACAAATTCAGGAATTGTTTGATTCAATATTTACAACTCATTTTTTTAAAAAAGATTATTAAAAATTTAACTGCCATTAATTAATTTTTTTAACTTAACTGTCATTTCCTCAATAATAAATTCTTTTTAATAAATCATTGACCCACATTTTGGCCAAAAAAAAAGGTTGACCCAAAAGTTTTCTATTAATTAATTAAAGTATCTCAATGGCATATGCATGCACAGGCAATGAAGATTCACATCACAATAAATATTACTGATTTGAAAGAATCGGATCAAATTAGCTCATGAATATACAGCCATAGCCCTATAAATTACTGTAGTGTTACCTTGTTGCATCATATAAGAAAAGAATTAAGACATGGCATCATACATGAAATCTCTCATTCTTCTGCTAGATATAGTTGTTTCTTCTTCAGAGTTATTGAAAGGCGGCGAATCCATTCTGTTTGAGAAAAAAAATAACAGTGCAGATCATAAACAGATAATCTAATCACCAAGACTTGAATTTTCATTGCAAAGATAAGAATCATGATCTTGGAGAGCAACGTCTAGGATTTGATCAAAAGTTTGAGTTTAGTTTCAAGATCGAACCGTTTCTCAAGAGAGCCTTTTATTTCTGTGGCTTTTGGTGGCCTCCATCATCTTCTTCAGTTCATTACTTTGATGTTTATGTGCAGAAGCGAGACAAATGTAATGAATGTGTTTGCATTATAACTGAACAAGGTCCTTTCACAAATGATGGATGCCATAATTGGAATTCTAATAATCCATTTTCATCATCAAATTATAGTGATATTTCTGAATTTTACATGTAAATTGCTGAAATAGTGAAATTATATGTTTACTATAAATATTATTAGGAAAAATATAATTATTGGTCGCAATAGTTTTATCGTGTTTTATTATGAGTCATTATGCTTTTTTTTTTTGTTAATGTTTTAGAGATCCTTGCAGTTTTTCCCATCTGTAACGTTAGTTTACCTATTTTTAAATATATCCAAATGGATAATTAAATTAGGATATTTGATGTGTAAAGTAAAAGGCTTGACCCACAATGACTAAAAATCACTTTCTAATATTGACAAGTGCTGTTGTTAGAATAGTCTTCACCAAAAAGCAAGTGTCCTTATTTTTTTTAACCTTTCAGTAATTTAAATTGCCAACTCATTGTGTTTTAAACATATTAACATCCTCGTTAACGTTGGTAGTTAGAAATTAGATAATTTAACATTGCTATTGGTAGAACACCAGTGTCCCTCCGAATATATAAAAAATATAGAGATTAATGTTATAGACAAGGAAAACTAGAAAGACTTAAAAAATTGAAAAAGAAAAGTAAAAGATCAATAACAAAATATAATAAAACTATAAGGATTAATAGTTATTTTTGACTATATTATTATAACCTTTGTTGGAAAGCTATGAAAATTTATAACCATATCACGTATGTTCTAATTCTATCCATCATTTTAAAGCAAATGTATTTAAATGACTTTCTCATTTGGTATGTGAAAAGTAGCACAATAAAAGAAGAAAATAAAATGGCCTTGCTTTATGAGTCCGGTTAGAGATTTTTTTTTCCTTTTTTTAAATTTCATTATTTTGAATTGATAATTGGGATCTATTAATTCTAGGATTATTATTGTGATTAGATGTTGAAATATAAAATTATAATTTCAACTGGGCCGGATAATATCAATATATAAAAACTCTATATTTCGTAGTAGACACATGCTTCTTCTTCTTCTTCTTGATTGAAATAGACACATGCTTCTTAGTATTGATGCTCATGAAATTATCACGATGTCAAGTTCTCAGCAGGAATCATCAACTTTATAATATTTCAACTACTCACACTTTTCTAGCCACTTACCAAATTTAAATATCTCACTGGATTCAAATCTATTAGAACTAGAGAGCAGGATGATGTATTAGGGGAAAAAAGAATAAAGCTATTGAATAATAACACTGGATTTTGTAAAGCAAAATATGGACACCTCTATCAATTAGCATTTAAAACTTTTTTTTAGTATAAAAAAATTTAGATTGGGTAGATGCCAGTAACTCGCTAAGGCAGACCTCCCAACCTTTTTGAAATTTTTAAAAGAGATTACAGATCACCTATTAATGAGTATCTCACATTAGTGAATAAAATTTAAATCTTTGCCTTTGTAAGGTAAAAGCCGAGTCCTTGATCAACTACACCATGCCTTTATTGGGCGAATCCTTGCAAGGTAAAGGATTTAAAATTTTAATTTATCATGTTATAAGATATTAACCTTTTTTATTAGGTTCGATTTTTATTATTTATTTTCTCCTTTTTATTATAAGAGAAACTATCATTTTTTTATATAAGCAAACCTATAAGTTTTAAGAAATATTTATCATATTTTCCTCAACTAGCCTTCATAAAATTAATATTTATTTTCACAAAATAAATTTATTTCATTAATTATAAAAATAACTTTTTGGCCAAAAAAATTATAGAAATATTTTTTTAATTTTAGACATAATTATTATTTTTAACTTTCTGCATCAGCTGATATTTTTTTAAATATTTAAAAATAGAATATTTAATTTAATTGTAATTTGTTGAAATATACTTTGAATAATTTTTTGTATTTGGGGGAAGACAAAAGAGGCACAGTGAGACTGGGAATATCTCACCGGCAATCCTATCCCATTCCGCTGCGAGCACAAGCGACAATGCTGTTGGGGCAAGCTCCTCCTGCGAACTTCATAGCCAAACCCAATTGCATGGAATTGCAGATTCAAAGCCATGCGCGTCTCTTCTCCTTTGCTCAGACTTGTTTCTGTGACACCCCATGTACGAAAATGCAGCGAAGAGGTGTTGGAAATGCATTTCTCGTTAGAGCTGGCTATTCTCCCACGCCCAAAGATGTTCTCTCTTGGAACTCTAACACCGCCGACGATGGTTTGAGCTCGAATGTAGAGAATTTATCAGATATAAGCATAGTAGCTGAAGGTGCTGATTCTTGGTGCTTTTGTTCTTTTAAATTGTTAGCCACTTTGAACTGCTATGGTATCAAATAGAGGAGCTTATCAATGACCTTGATGGTTAGCTATCGTTTTTATTTTGTAACAAAGCTACTTTCTTTGATTTACTGAACTTCAAATGTTGTCACCTTCGGCTCAGTTTGTGATAACGTGTAAAATGTATTTAGAGAGACAAAGTGCTTTCTTTCAGTTATTGCACTATTTTTCGTTGTCCAGCTAGAAATGTACTGTTCTGTTCATATAGTCATGCTAAAGTTGTGATTTTACTTCTTCCCTACTGTTAGGATGCAAGTTCCAGAATTTTTTTGGGCCAAACAAGGTCCAGATTATTTTGAAAAAGATGATGATTGGAATACCGAATACTTTTTTTATCTATTAAATATATTATGTAGTGTACAGATTTTTTATGAAACCATACCAGAGCTTATCAAATAATGGATGGGAGTTAGCATTAGATAATCAAACATCAATTATGTGTGAAGATTCAAGAGCGCCCTGGTCTTTGATAATATAGTTATCTCGAACAATTATTAGCATCTCTTGTTTTCCCATCTATTTCTAAAGGCTGGGATCTTGTCCTTATCATGAATTGTACTTTTAAATTCCTTTACGCTGCAGGCATGTCCTGATGTATGTGATATGATCAAGCTTTATCCATGCATGCGTAATTCATGAGCTCTATTGCATACTAATAGTTTATTAGATAGTGATAAGTATTCCCTGTTTTCTCATCTATTTATTAAGGCAGGCATCTTCCTTAACTATGAATCACACAATTTGATTCTTTCAGGACACAATCATGTCTTATTTTTATGATAGCATATGTCTGATAGCTATGCTTTTTCATCCACTCGATGCTTACATAAATTTTTCTGTTTGGCAGGCCTTGAGCGTGATTCAGTTCTTACAAATAGTGATTCTACAATAAAATCTAAGGCGAGGTTATCTGGAAGTTTTGGTAAACTGAAAGCACAGAAGGTTAAGGCCCTCATCCACAGAACTATTCACAAAAAGCAGGAAAGAAGCATTAATGATGATAACCTAGTTGTAGAACATCCAGAACTAGAAATAGAAGATGATTGGGAACAATATGAAAACAGTGCAAGTCAGGGATCTAATTCCCATGTAGGACGTCAGAATAAACCCAATAAATCTCAAAACAATGACATCAGAATAGCGAGTTCAGGTATATTAGTTGAAAGACATTCTGCCTCTCATTTAAAAGGATGGGGTTGTGAACAATCTTCACGTCCTTTTAGGACTGAATCACAAAAACTGGTAAAGGAGAAGAGAAAAGCATTGACTGACAATGACTTTTTCAGCCGAAAGTCTTTCAAAGATCTAGGTTACAGTGACTACATGATTGAATCTCTGCAAAAGCAAATTTTTCTCCGGCCTTCACATATACAGGTAACTTTAAGCTTTGTTGCTGAAGGGAAATTAATTTGCTCATGAACATTTGTGTGCTTTCATATGTGAACTTGAGCTGCTATGCTTTGTGGAAAATAATGTGGACAGGGAAAATATTTTCAATATGCAATAGCTTGCATTTCTGAGAAAATGGTTTGTCCATCCATTACATCTGATGCTTGACCACGTGTTTGAAACTGACTTTCAATTCATAAGATGCTCTTTTTTTGGCTGATTGCTGTCCATCCTTGGTTAGAAATTATGTGTGCCTTACACCAGGTGTTGCTTATTACTTGACAACAACCAAGCTCCCCAGTTAATATTTTGGTTAAATGTAGGCTATGGCATTTGAACCAGTATATACCGGAAAGAGTTGTATAATAGCTGATCAAAGTGGTTCTGGCAAGACTTTAGCATATCTTGCACCGATAATTCAGAAGCTTAGACAAGAAGAATTGGAAGGAATTGCCAATTTCTCTTCACAAGCTCCTCGAGTTGTTATATTGGCACCAACAGCTGAGTTAGCTTCTCAGGTTAATTGCTTTACTTATATCTCCGTGCAACTGTCTGTTTCTTTTTCATCATTCCTCAATCCCCCGCATGTTCAAAATAATTGTTTTCTTGCTTTCACTGTTTTCTGTTTCTTGCTTAGGAGGCATATTACGTCTGAAGGCTTTCACTTCATTGCCCCCCTTTTTCAGAAGCATTATTCAAAAATAACTAAAATAAATAAATTAAAATAAAACAAGCAAAATGAAAAAAATGATATGATTATAATAGGTGCGATTTTCAATACCCCTCCTCAGGCATATACCTAACTTGGAGCTATTCTTCCATTGCCAATTGTCTTCTAAGATCAATCTCTGTTGTGTGGTTGTCCTTGTCTCCAGTGACGTGTTACCAGACTACCGGTTATGAGGACAATGATTTCCATTTCCATGTGGAACTTTCATATCAGCACTATTTCCGTTAAAAGTAAATTTTCTTTTGTTCTTGTGTCTTTTTGAACAAAATTTTTGGACATTTTTCTTTTGTTACATTCCAAACAAATGGAGTAGATGTTTGTAAAAATTATTTTAAAGGTCCAGTGTCAATGGCAATGAGGTTACTCATTAGTGATAATGGTTCCATTTCATAAATTTTACAGCCTGCTGGTTCTTTTGACTGGCTTTCCTTTTCACTTATCATTGCTCCTGTTAGTGTTTACACAAGCCCTAAAAAATTGAATTTTGATATCATGGATAACCTGGTGTGGAAGTAGGCTACTGACTGCTTATTTGTGTTAACAAAAAGATATGGTGCAGTTTCATCTACTGATTAATGTAGGACCAGAGAATAAAGAGAAAAGAGAAAAAAGGGTAGACATAAAATAGGAATGAGAAAGATGACATTTTAACTCATTGGTAAAACCTAACTGTCAAGTCTACGATCAGGTTCCTGTAAGGAAGCCAAGAAAATAACCACATGGATTAAAATAAGCATGGGAAATGACTAAGGCAACATCCATGGTTATGGCCTTACTATTAAAAGCCTATAAACTATATTCTTACTGCTTGTGTTTAAATTATTATTCCATTCTTTAGTATGCTCTCCTTCAGTAGTATAAATGCTGGTGTCAATTGTTTCTGTGGCAGGTGTTAGCTAATTGTCGATCAATGTCAAAATCTGGGGTTCCATTCAAATCTATGGTTGTAACAGGTGGCTTTCGACAGAGAACTCAACTAGAGAATTTAGAGCAGGGTGTTGATGTTTTAATAGCGACACCTGGCCGTTTTATGTTCCTCATCAAGGAAGGCTTGTTGCAATTAACAAATTTAAGATGGTAAACATAGAAATTCAGGGATTCTTTTTTGTTAGATACATAACTTTACATTTCTTGATGATAAAGGGAGAACAAACTTTTACTCTATCTGAAACATTTAACTGTAGACAATAAATTAATTCTATCCTGTCAAATTAGGATAATCCTATCAAAATTATTATTTTCATTAAAAATAGAACAGTCAAGCTTATCCTAAACACAGAACATTATTTAAAACTAGCTGAAAAACGATAAGTCTTAATTTTAAAATAAAACAGAAAATGACTAAAAATAACTTAAGCTTGGCCTTTTAGGATTATGACTGGTGGTTCATAAATTTCATTTTCTACTTTCAAATTCTTACATTTGTTTTTCATTTTACTCTGAAAGTAGGCGGTGATATGGTTAAAACAATGATGGACCCAGGGCAAACCAGTGCCATGTAGGAGGGTTCAAGTGTGTTATAGTAGTTGGTGTTGGTCCAAAGGGGTTAAAAAAAAAAAAGAAACCCATTATGTTAATTACCCCATACATATCATGAGATGTGGGGGAGAGAGAAGGGTATTGTGGTTGAATATTTATTGGAGAATGGAGGCTCTTTGGGGGGTTAAGGAAGAAATTGGATATTGTTATGAGGAGAGCGCCCAATCCTATTGAAAGCTGGGGAATGCTTTCTTTTATGTTTTATTTTCCCCTTTATTTTCTGTTTTGTGCTTTTGTGTGTGATCTTGTAATTGTTGCTGTCTTAGACTTTTGTCACTGTTTCATTGAGCTAAATATCCAGTAGAGGGATATTTCAGTTTCATTTTGGCTTGGGTTCCATCAAGTAAAAAGAAAATAACTAAAAATAATTGAAAGTAACTCTAAGCTTACTATAGTATTGTTAATGGATCACAAGTTTCATGTTCTACATTCAAATTTTGGCATTGATTTTTTCTCTGAATGCAAACAGTGATACTATAAGGATCTTGTTAATTTTTATCATAAAATCTTCATAGCTCCCATAGTCCAGCTGAACATTAGGAAGTACTAACAGGCAGTAGTGAAAAATCAGTCTGACTTCTCAGTTTTATCAAGATTTTGCTTTGTAAGCATATAGGATAAAGGTTATTTCTTTTTGCCCTAGTACTCCAAGGGACCCAGCAAATCTAGAAATTTATTCTCCTAGCTCACTTCTTTCTCCCAGTGTATTCAAGTACAATAATTTATGTTAGCATTTTCATGTTTATTTTTAAAATCTTGTTTAACATAAACAACTCATTTTGCAGTGCGGTGTTAGATGAGGTAGATATCCTTTTTGGTGATGAGGATTTTGAAGTGGCGCTTCAGTGCTTGATTAATTCTTCACCAGTTGCCACACAATATTTATTTGTGACTGCAACTTTGCCAAAAGATATTTACAATAAACTAATTGAAGTTTTTCCTGATTGTCAAGTGATCATGGGACCCGGTATGCATCGGATAAGCTCTCGGCTTGAGGAGGTTGGTAATGAATTGTAATCTCCTATTGGTGTTTTATGCTTATCTTTATTGGATAGAAGATAGCACAATTTAATATGAGAAATATAAAGCGTATATTTGCTAGTAGAAATATTTGAACTGAAATGCCAGAAGGGTGAAATTTTATTTGCCAGTTTTTTCCCTCATAATTCTTTCTCAACGTTTTTGAACTTTCCTCTGCACCATTTTGCTGGAACTTCAGCTTGAAGAAGTTATAAACCAATTATGCCATATCTCGTGTTATATTTTAGTGTATTGTACTGCTTTGAACTGTGGCTTATATTATATACAAACCACAATATTTCCATATTATTTGCATGACAGGCTTATTCCATTTCTGCTCCATTGATTTCATCAACTTCTCTGTGCTTACATCACCGTTGCTCTATATTCAGGTTTTAGTTGATTGCAGTGGGGCCGATGGGGAAGAAAAATCTCCTGATACTGCATTTCTTAATAAGAAAACAGCTCTTCTACAGATTGCAGAAGGAAGTCATGTCCCAAAAACCATTGTGTTCTGCAACAAAGTAAGCTCTACTTCTTACTTTTGGTAGCTCATATTTTGGGCCATTTCGTATACAAAATGAAATGAAAAAAGTCATTTTATTTTGAGCATATGAAATGATTACCGTGAAGTCCATGCTCCTATTTATAATAACTTAAAAAATTATTGCTGAGTAATGATCACAAAGTTGCAATAAACATGTACAAAGAATATATAAATGGGAATCTCTTTTGACCTTTCTTACCAAATGGAGCATTAGTCTCCTTACCTTATTCATAGAGCTGTTTGTATTGTGACATAATTCTCCAAATATACTAAGAATGGCGTTTCAACTTTTTATTGCACAAATTGCAGATTGAAACCTGCAGAAAAGTTGAGAATGCATTGAAACGTTTTGATAGGAAAGAGACTCGTGTACAAGTTCTACCTTTCCATGCTGCCATGACACAGGAATTACGGATTGCTAATATGGAAAAGTTTACACGTTCTCAGACAAAGGAAGTCTCCCAGTTTCTGGTTTGCACAGACAGGTATGTTATCTGATTCTTAGAAATGCAATATTGTCATGTAAAATGGTGCTATATTTTTTTTTTTCTTGGGTTCTTTTTTTAAGCCCTCTATTATCTTACACTGCCGATTAATCCTGAATTTGAGCCGCTTCAAACCCCAAATGAGAGGAAGCTCTCCTAACGCGCGCGCGCGTCCAATTCTCCATAAGGTTTGAATTAGATGTTAGTTTGAGTCTCGTGTATTTTTATTAAATCAATAATCAGTATTTATCAGTGATCAAGGACAAGTTTCTTTAATTTTTTTCTTTTCTTTTCTTTTTTTTTTTTAGTGATTTTACTTGAGTTAAACATGAGGGAGTTGTTGGGAAACCCTTAAAGTAAACATGAGGGATGTGCTGGGGGAAAAAATCTATGTTGAGCTTATTTTGATAAGCTAATCATTGAGTTAACTAAAATCACTTTTGCCTCCTTATCTTTAACAAATGGGCCCTTAGTGACTTGTTAGAATCACAAGATTTGAATTGTGAATTTCTATTTTCCTTTCAAATCTGGATTCTTTATGTAAATATTATGACTTGTTATATTCCCCCCCAGTCTTAAAATGTAGGAGCTAATTCACATTGAGGAAATTAGTTTAGTTAGTTATTTGTTTTTTTTTTTTAAGTGTATTGGTTTCCTTAAAATACCCCTTTTTAATCATTTACATTGAAAGCTACCCCTATGCACACATTAATCTGTACAATAAATAGGGGCGGTTTGGAAAAAAATAATAAGTGAGAGAAAAAAAGGGGATTGAGATCTTACATTTAGGATCAACACGGACTCCTTAACTAGCTCTTACATATGATTTTGATTATTATGCTATAATCTGTTGCAGAGCATCACGAGGGATTGACTTTAGTGGAGTGGATCATGTTGTACTTTTTGACTTCCCGCGTGATCCAAGTGAATATGTCCGCCGCGTCGGAAGAACTGCAAGAGGTGCTGCTGGGAAGGGCAAGGCATATATCTTTGTGGTTGGCAAGCAAGTACCCTTGCACGTAAAATCATGGATAGGAATAAGAAGGGTCATCCTCTTCACGATGTTCCTTCAGCCTATGAGCTGATGAAGTAGAAATCTTAAAGATCTTTTTGAGATTGAGCACATCAAAAGCCCTATTCTACTTTGTACATATGATCTCTGTAATCAAAATGTAATTCTGATTGCTGCTTCCTTTATCATAAAATTGCATCATAATTTGTAGGCCTATAGTCTTAGCATAAGCATTCTATGGTTCTAGGCAAGAATATCAATATTCTGATGTTAAGTACATGAAAAATTACCTGGGGTAGATGGGGCATGCCTACTTGAATGAAAAGATTTTTTTTTGGTTGAAGTATTACAAATGATAAAGACCAAAAGTTTTCAAAACCAATCCAAATTGATTACACTAAACCAAATTAAATTAACATCAACTAATCAAAATTGATTTTAAATGAGATTTGGTTTGGTTTTTTTTTTTTAGGGCAAAAATGATCGGTTTGGTTTGATTCAGCTTTTTACTCATCAAAACTTAAACCAAATTAAATTAAGTTTTATTACATTTATTGTATATACTTTTATAATTTTGTTTAAGTTTTTTCTCCTTTTCAAGTTTGGCTATTTGTAAATCATGAGTAAAAATATAATGAGCTAAATGTTATTTATAATCAAGTGTTTTAAATGTAATATGTTGACTTTTAATAGTTAAATATGCCAAGTGCTCAAGAAATTTTTTATTGCCAATAGTAAGTTATAATTAAAATTATCAATGAATATGAATATAAATTGATGATTATAAAAAATATCTCATAAAAAACATTCAAGTTTGATTCCAATTTAAATCACATCGTTCAAAAACCAAACCAAATTGATTAGATAAACAATTGACTTAATTTTAATATTTAGTAAATTGATTAGTTTGGTTTGATTTAGCTGAACACCCTTAATAGAAACTCAACAAATTGGGTAATAGAAGAATTTGAGTGGAATTAAAAAAAAAACCAACATCCACAAAAAGCTAATGAAAAGTTAATAAACATGTGAAAATTTATTAAAACGTCCCCAAAATAACTATCTAAAAACCAGTCAATATAACCAACATCCACCAAAAAAAAAAATCAGTCAAAAGAAGTCAACCTCCATATGAAACTGGCATGTTTTTTAAAGACCCAATATTTTAAAGAGCGATTCATTTTGTAGAAGTCATTGTATGAAAAAATGGGTTTGTATTGCAGGTTTGTCTTAAGAGGAATGCGCATCACAATCCGGGAAACACGATATTCATGCAAGAGAGTATTTGAAGGAAAAAAATCCGAGAGAAAGAGAGACCACCCATACATGTCTTTTTTGTTAGTGGAAGATGCTAAGGATGGTTCAAATAGATAGATTAGCACATGTAAGAAGCAGTTGAACAACATTGAATATGTAATTTGTATTTTGTAATGCAGACGTACGTTGCACTAGTGGACTACTGATATATATATATATATATATATGTATAGTATTTGTTCAATCTATTTTATCATGATATGCTTTGTACAAGTTAAGTTAATCTCTGTACTTCTTTGCAATTTTTAGTTCAAATTGTGTGTAAGTGTGCAGGGTTCATACAAGTAGTAAGATTGTAAATCTTTGAATTGTTTGTACTGTTATAATAATAACTGATCCCTTTTTTAATGTTTAGTTGGGCAAAGCGCCAAGGAAGTATTTGATTAAGGGGTATAATTAGTACTTGATTTTATATATTTAATATATTTTTCTCTAATCAAATGAAAACAAGTATATTTTAATATATTAATAATATTAATAACAAGATTTTGTTATAAAGTAAATAATCAATACAATATACATATGCTAATTTAATTGAAAATAAATACTTTAAATATATAAAAGTAAGTATATAATTTTTTCCATATGATTAATATATATTTTTCTGATTTTATATAATTTTAAAAATAATTTAAAAGATTAAGTTGCATTTTTATCTTAAAAACATTTTCTGATGAGTACACAGCATCCTAAAATATTTATTATAATAATTTCATCTCTCAAGTAATTAAAACGAAGCATATTTGTACCTAATATTAAATATCCTAACGTTGACTATTAAAAATACTGATTGAGACTTAAATTTGATTAAAAATGTAACTTGTCATGCTAGGTGTATTCGAGAGGTTCATTTTTGGCCCTGTTCTATTCTTTGAGAAGCAACCAGTATTCTAAACTATTTGCATTGTACCAATTTCACTACTAAAATAATTAAACCATAACATATTTCTAAACATCCTTATAACCAAATTCCTTTTCCGCCATTCTTCTTTTATTTTTATTAAAATATTATGTTTAATTATGGATGTTCAGAAAGAAGAAGCCATGTAGGCTTTAACGATAAAAAGTAGAGAGATAAAGAAATGGTGTGGGAGTACATTATTGGGTGTGACCTCTTTCTCTTAATTAGCCATGCCATTCCCAACGTTTTTAATTATGCTTGTTTATACATTCAATTGTCAATTAGTCCTACCTACCAATTCCCTTTATTGGTAATTTGTAGCTTTTTTATTATTAAAAATGTTATCCTCCCTCTCTAAATTTGAAGGTAGTAGTTTCAATGATCGAACTAATTTTTATTTTAATTAAACTTAAAGAAGGGTAGAAAAGAAATTTATCTAAGTTATCTATGGATGTTTAGAAATATGCTTTGTTTTAACTATTTTATGGGTGAAATTGTTATGATGCGAATAGTTTAAGATATTGAATATTTCTCAAAAATAATTTAAGAATAAAAATGCACCTTAACTCAAATTTACTAGCATGACAAGTAATATTTTTGATCAAACCTAAGTCCTAGTCATCATTTTTATTAGTTAACATTAGGATATTCAATGTCGTGAAAAATATGTTATATTTTAATTACTTTAAAGATAAAATTACTATAATAAATAATCTATGACATTAAATACTTCTCGAAAAATAGTTTAAGAGTAAAAATACATTTCACCCTAATTTAAATTTGGCTAAAATGCATAAATTTTTTTATTTAAATTTTGAGATAGTTGTATATGACTTTCTTCACATTTCAACATTTAAACTTAACCCCTAACATTTAATTTTATTTTTCAAAACCTCCTATCATTAGTTAACTATTATTTTATTAACCTAGTTATTGTCCTGTCATATTAATATAATACACATGACACATGACATTAAAAAATATTTTTACTATTTTTTAACACAATTTAAGAAAGGGTAAAATTTTAATTTTTACTTTTAACACACATAATGATGCTCTCATTTTTTTTTAGTTGAGAGACATTGTTCTCATTGTTCATGAGCAAAGAAAGATTATAATTTTATTATTCTTTATCAATTAAAATTGCTTTTTATATTAAATAAATGAAAATAAAAATATCTAAAAGCTCTCATTAATAAAAGTCATGTACATTTCGTTATCTTGTTTATTTTTCAAACTCTTAGGCCATGTTTGGTACACAGGCCTACATTTAAAAGGATTGAGATTGGTATTGAAGCTGGAATTGGGATTACAATTGAGAATGAGATTAGAACTTTAAAATTATGTATGGTATGGAGTAATAATTGTAGAGAATACTTTCCTTCATTTTATTTTATAATTAACATAAATTATAAAAAGACTATAATAACCTTTATAATTTAAAAAATTACCAAAACCCATCTCTTTATCACTCACAAATCAAACCCAACCTCCCCCTGCTGCCTATCACCCTATTCAATGACATGGAATTGGAAGCAACGCAGCAATGGTTCTCGTATGTGATGGATCTCAAAGATTTAAAGGCAAATGCAATGACCTTGTTCAAAGCAGATTTAAAGGCAAGAAGGCAAGTAGATGCGAGGAAATAGAGTGCTGGAGGACTGCAAGAGGTAGACGGAGGGAGAAGGGAGGAAGACGAAGGAAGAAGACTCGAACTAGTGGTGGAGGATGGCGGGAGGTAGACAGAAGGAGAAGGGAGGAAGATGAAGGGAGAATGGTGTCAATGGTGGAAGATGGCAGGAAGACAACGGGAGATGAAGGAAGATGAAGTGAGAATGGCCAAAGATAGACAGAGGGAGAAGGGAGGAAGACGAACCTGTTAATGGTAGAGGATTGCGCTGATACTAGGGATGACTATGGCAACTTAACTGAGTGAGAGAACGGTGAGGGATGGGGTTGGAGGCAAGGGTAGAGAGACGGAAAGAGGGTGTGAGAATGAGGGTAATTTGGTATGAAAAAAAAATCAATTCTAAAATTGTTTTGCCAATACCAAGGGGTGTTGGATTGAGTAATCCCATGTAGATGGGATTGGGCATAAGATTAAATTTCCCAATGCTCCATACCAAACACAAAAAGCTGATACTAGCTAGTGCCAATGCCAGTCTCATCTCTCCAATCCTTTGTACTAAACAAGGCCTTATTTGTTTATAGTTATTATTTTCTCTTTTAAATGAAGTTTTCAATATTTATTCAAACAAAAATATATGTTACTAGTATGTTACAAATAGAATGTGTGTTGCTTTAAAATAATTTTTTTTTTGCTATTTGTGATTTGTATCAATTTTGTTAAAAAAACTTATAAAATATCATATTTTTGTTATATTAAAGGATAAATTTTTATTTATATAGTTCTTATCAATGTGAATTTTTAAATATGTATATTTTTTATTTGTTTAACTGAATCAATACAAATCACAAATAGAAAAAAAAATTCTTATTTTAATGCAACACACATTCATTTGTAACATATCAATAAGATATATTTTTGTTTGAATAAATACTGAAAACTTCATTTAAAAGGAAAAATAATAGCCATAATCAAATAAGAGTCTGAAAAAGTAAACAAGATAATGAAATGTATATGACTTTTATTAATGATAGCTTTTAGATATTTTTATTTTCATTTATTTAATATAAAAAGTTATTTTAATTAATAAAGAATAATAAAATTATATTTTTTTAAAATTATATTACATGTGAATAATGAGAACAATACCATTCAACTAAAAAATAATAATATTATCATGTGTATTCAAAATAAAAAATGTAATTTTGTTCCTCCTTAAACTATGTTAAAAAATAATATATTTTTTTTCATGTTATGTTTTATATGTATTGTATTAATCTAATATGAAAATAATTATATTAATAAATTAATAATTAATTAATACTAAGGGGTTTTGAAAAAATATTAAACACTATGGAGGAGGTTAAATTTAAATATTTAAATGTAAAGACTATATGCAATTATTTTAAAATTTAAAAAATTTTATACATTTTAGACTTTAAATTAATTAATCTTGATAATAACAGGTCAATACTGCGATGAAACGCATCGCGCATCGGCCTTGTTTCCTTCACCGGTCCGGAGAGTGAAATGATCCAATCCTCGAACTCGAATCGATCTAACCGCAGCAGCCTTCCCTTTGCTCTCTGCTTTAGACTGAGAGTCTCTCCTCCTCCTCCTCCTCCTCCTATGCAGTTTTATGGCTGCATGATTCTTTTCTCTATCCGCTTTCTTATCTGAAATGAAACCAACGATGGCAGTTCTGTTGCATACTGCCTAGGTATTTGGTTCGTGAGGCCATATGTAGCCGTTGTTGGCGGCTATGGTCAGTGTGATGCTGACACCTTAATCAATTACCAAAATTTGAGCGCCTTACCTAACTCAGGATGAATTGAAGGCGGAATTGTGTCGTGGGCGCATATTCTGATGTGATAAGAGGTCAAATTTCATAAACTTGGGCCTCTTAATTAGGTAGTTAGGCATATGGATAAGGACTTCATCTAATTGTAGCTGAGCAAGTGATTTTTTGTTTGATTCTTGCAAGCTGTGAATTTACTCATGACTGAAGTTTCATACGAGTTATTGTTGTCATTTCTAACCTAGTGGGATTTCAAGTTTTCACTTTCTGCATAATACATTGATTGTGCGGATTAGCTATTTAATTATTTTGTAGAAATATGATTGCATTAATTTTAAAATACGTGCTTGGTTTGCTCATTTCAAACCGTTCAATATGTGTATTTATATGTGACAATGCATGTACTGTTGTTAATTTATTTTTTTAATCATACAAGCATGCAGATTCTGTATAATAATTATATTTAAAAATGAGTAAAATATAAGTAATCGAAATGTGAATATAAGTTACAACTTACAAACAATCTTTACAGAAGTATTTTATTTATTTACGATGAAGAGAACAAGCCTTGAAAAGTTTTATGTTACTAACTACTTGTGAAGTTCTTATGAATATTACAAATTTCTCGATGGTATTAGGATAGACTGAATTCTCTAGTATTTTTGCCTTTGTAAGATTGTATATTCTTATTTTTATACTTTTATTTCAGGTATTTTTAAATGACTGGCATTTCCTATTGAATACTGGAAATTTACCCATGGAGATAGATCTTGAGCTGCCAACATGTGATCAGGGGAAGTCAGAATTTGGATCCTTTGGAAAAGGGGTGGCCGATTCTGCATGTGATATGCATATTGAGGAGCAACAATGTACTGATTGTCCAACAGTGACTGAACACTATGAGGAAGTCTCTTGTGGAAGTGCTTTGTCTTGTCCGGAGCAGGTGTATGCTATTAATAAAAATCCTATAAAGGAGCCTCAGAATGGCTTGGAATTTGAATCAAAGGAGCAAGCTTATTTTTTCTACAGAGAATATGCTCGCTCTGTGGGATTTGGTATCACAATAAAAGCCAGTCGGCGCTCAAAAAAGTCTGGTATGTTTATTGACATTAAAATTGCTTGTTCCAGGTTTGGAAGCAAGCGTGAGTCTGGTACAACTGTTAATCCACGATCATGTATAAAAACAAACTGTAAGGCTGGTTTGCATTTGAAAAAGAAGCCAGATGGTAAATGGATTATATATAGTATTGTGAAGGAGCATAACCATGAGATCTGTCCAGATGATTTTCTCAGGGGACGGCAAAAACAGCCCAGTGATGCAGCTTGTCCAAAGAAGGGTTTACAGTTGGCACTGGATGAGGAAGATGCTCGAGTGATGATTGAATATTTTTTGTCCATGCAAAATGATAATCCCAACTTCTTCTATGCTATAGACCTGGACCATAATAAGTGTTTGAGAAATGTGTTTTGGGTTGATTCAAAGGGTCGGCTTGATTATCAGAATTTCAATGATGTTGTTTTCATTGACACTTTTTACTTGCAAAACAAATATAAAATTCCATTTGTTCCTATTGTGGGAGTCAATCATCACTTTCAGTACATTTTGCTTGGATGTGCTCTGATTGGGGAGGTGACTACTTCTGCTTTTGTATGGCTATTGGAGGCATGGCTCAAAGCAATGAGTAGCCTAGCACCAAAAGCAATTATCACAGACCAAGAAAACTTCTTGAAAGAAGCCATTGTAGAAATGTTGCCACATACACATCATTTTTTCTGTATATGGCACATCTCAAAAAAAATTACTGAAAATTTGGGTTATATGATAGATCAAAATAGTAATTTTATGAAAAAATTCAGGAAATGTGTTCATGACTCTTTGTTTGATGAGCAGTTTGAAAAGAGATGGCGGAAACTGATCAATAGATTTGAACTAAAGGACAATGGATTGGTTCAATCATTGTTTGAGGATCGTAAAAAGTGGGTTCCAACATACATGCAGAATGTTTTTTTGGCTGGAATGTCCACAGCTGAGAGGTCTAAAAGTATAGTCTCATACTATGACAAGTATGTTTGTGTTGATTATACATTTAATGACTTTATTGAACAATATAAAGTTTTCTGTTCAGAGAGATTGGACATGGAAACCATAGCAGACTTTGAAACTAGCGAAAAGCAGCCTGCATTAAGATCCCTATTATCTTTTGAGAAGCAGCTCTTGGTGATTTACACAGATGCCATTTTTAGAAAATTTCAATCAGAGATATTGGGAGTGATGTCTTGCCGCCTTCTAAAGGAAAGAGAAGACAGTGCCAGTGTAACTTTTCGAGTTGAGGATTTGGAAGTAAAAAAGAAATTCATTGTGTCTTGGAAAGAATCAGAGTTGAATGTTTGTTGTTCATGTCATTTATTTGAGTACAAGGGTTTTCTATGTAGACATGCAATGCTTGTCATGCAGATTTCTGGTTTAACAAACATTCCATCCCATTATATTTTAAAACGATGGACAAGAGATGCAAAGGCGAATCAACTTGTGGGTGTTGATACAAGCCGCAGGCTTGCTGACAGAGTGCAACGTTTTAATGATCTATGTAGGAGGGCTATTATACTAAGTGAAATTGGGTCTTTATCTCCGGATACTTACCAAGTTGCATTTCAGGCACTGGAGGAAGTTTATAAAAACTGTGTGATTGCAAATAATTCGGTAAAAAGCATATTGGAACCCAACACCTCGGTACTTAATGGTGCTGTTGATGTTGAAGGGGAGAATTATCTCAGCCATACGACCAAGACAACTAAGAAAAGGAAGTCATATAATAAAAGGGTTAGTTGGTGATCAACTTGTGTGGGGATGCTAGAACTTGTTTTGAGTTGTAGAAAGTGGTGGGCATTCTTAAACGGTTTTGCATATTACAGGGACGCTCTGAACCTGAAAGAACAAATATGATGATGCTGGATGCCTTTCAAAAGAGGGTTTGTGACATGTTGCATTTTATGGAATTATCGCTTTCATTGCTGGAAGAAATTTTTATTTGCTATATTGTTTGCATCACAACACGTGTGCAATTTATATTTGCAGGATCAAGTAAATACAAGAGCACACAACTTTGATAACTGTTACATTCCAAGACAGGACACGCACACAGTGGTATGAGAAATCTTTTATGATGTTGATATTGACAGTAAAAGTTTGTCTTACTATAACAGTTACGTTGTTACTTTATTGAATATTGGTCCCTTTAATTTCAATTTATATCTTGAATCCGAAATATTGTTTTGCCTCCGCTGTCATAGGACTTGGATTCTAGAGCTCCAACTCTTGATAGCTATCATGAGGTACAACAGAATGTGCCTGGAGATGTGTCCTCTGTCATCTCTGTACTTCTTTCATGTGGGAAGCGATGAAAAATATATGACTTTATTGTTGTTTTATACCTTTAAAGGACCAGATTAACTTAGTTTCTTGCATTCAAGATGGTTATCATGGCAATCAGTCAGCAGCACCGAGCTGGTAGAGGCTTGTGTGACTCTACTTCCTTAGCTCAATTTTGGGAGATGTGTAGGGATCTCATACTCTGTTGTGATCTTCAGGGTCAATTGCATTCTGTGCCAAGCCGTAGTCACCATTACAGGATGCAGCAGAGCATTCAAGGACTGGTACTGGTTTAAATTATTTGACTCAATATGGCTTTAGTAGGGCTTTTAAGCTTCTATTACCATCATTTTCTTCCTTATTTATCTCGTACGCATATAGTATTTTTACGGGTTTTTCTATTCGATCTTAGAGGAGCAGTCTGTTGTACTATACCGACTGGCTTATCCTGAAACACAGCAAAGAAAAACGATTGTTATCTTCTAATGAAATATTTTTCAAATACTGTAAGAAAAAATTTATACACAAGTAATTCTTTAGCTTAAAAATTTATTATTATTATTATTATATGAATTTGCTTTTGATAATTTTGTTGATTCATATTGTAAAGGGATATGGGACAGGCTTGAGGCGAGACACAAATCGAAGTTATCTTGTCTCAGTCTTGTTCCAAGTCCTAGTTAAATGCTGATGAATAAACTAGATTGGGGTTGCTGAGAGCCAACAAGTTGGGCCTTAAGTTGCCATATCTATATGGCTTAATACGTTAGCAATACTCAAATTTGGTTTGATTTGTTTTTGCAGCTGCAGGGACAACTCAGTCTTTCAACTTCAACAATTCATCATCATGCTTCTTTTGATCTTCAAGAAAATCTGGATGATATGGTAAGCGCTTGGAAGGACTCTCAGTTCGAATCTGTGTTCTAAAGTTCATATACTAAGTTTGCAATGAAGTCATGTATAATATTTGATAGATATCAAAGTATTTTCTGAAAAAGAAATGGTAAATCTCATTTTTTTTTACACACATTCTTCATTAGTTCATTTGTTTTAAGAAAACACTTTACTTTTCCGTGCACCAAACATACACTTATGCTTCATTTGATATGATGGAAATGATTTTGATGGAAATGGAAATGGATATGGAAGTGAAAATAGATATTGAAATGGAAATGGATATGGGGTTTATTTAAAGATATGTTTGGTATGTTTATGAAGTCTTGGTATACTTCTTAAAAAAAAAAAAAATATATATATATATATATTCATAATGTTAAAAGACTAAAATGCCCTTTCTAAAAAAACCTAGATTAACAAAAATAGTAAACCGCCATTGAACCCCATCGAAGACACCAATCCCCAGCAACACCATCATCCATCAACAACACAAATTGAAAATTCTTTCAAAGCAACAACAACAATCGTACGATGAAGCAGTCAGAGATGATGAATTGAAGATTTAGTTGGAGATTTGGTTGCTATTGCTGTTGAAGATTTGGATGAGCCTAGAGATCTGGACAAAGTCGAAGACGAAGATGAATGAGAATGAAGCAAACAAGAGAGAGAGATGTTGAAGATGGAGAAGAATGGAGTGAAGAGGTGAGATTTGGTCACTGTTGCTGTTGGAGATCTGGACGGAGTCAAAGTCGAAGAAAAATGAAGCGAAGAGGAAGAGTTGCCACTACCACCATCTTTGCCACGCACAGTAGACGATAGATAATTGTTGCTGGTATCTTCCTTGTTTTGTGATCTGGCATCTGGTGATGATGAGAGATGAGAAGGAAGTTGTTTTGTCGGTCCGGTGATCAGGGGAGACAAGGAGTCTAGAAACAAGAAGGGAAAAAATGATACAAATTTGGCTTCCATGGAATTTTTCACAATTCCATGGATCAACAAATGGAATTTATTTTTGTTATTTTTATTGAATTGAATTCCACATGGAATTAAGATATGCTATGCCAAACAACCTAAAATTTGATTTTCACCTCTAATTCCATTTTCATGCCTCCCATTTCTAATGTACCAAACGAGACCTTAGTTTGGTGACTAATTGTATTTACATACTGATGTACGTATGATTTTTTCTTTAGGAATGACCTGCTGGGGGCTCGTAGTTTCACAGGGGTTCGGAAGCAAGTATGCAACTACATGATAAATCCTTCTTTGGATAGTTGAAAGAGAGTTCCTTTTTCTTTTTGTGTTAGATTATGATAGCTAATATATATAAATGTTGTGTATCTATTTGGTTTTATTTTAATTTTTAAGTTAGTAGTTCTTATCGTGTGGTGAACACCTTTTGCTGCTGAATCATGGGGCAGACTTATGCACGCCTAGTCCCAGAGATTCTTGTGTTTCAGTATCTCAGGATATATTGATTTAGGTAAGGCCTCTTAACGCCTTTCCTGGGATTGGGCCACTTTAAAATCCTCAATGTTTTGACATTTTAACCTATGAATCTTTAAGCATAGTGACATGGTTTATACTCATGGATTGTTGGTTTGATTCATTCTGGCGCATAGGTTCTTCCTAGAGGAAGTGTAGAGTATACTTGAATTTTGGCATGATAGAAGTAAGATATTAAAAAATTGAGTTTTCAAGAGAGAGGAGAGAGTTTAAAGAGACATGGTTAAGAAATTTCTCCAAATAAGTTCTGCCTTATAACATAACTGAAACTTTCTTATATAGAGAAAGGGAGAAGGATTGGGATGACATCTTCATAATTACAAGAAGACAAACTAATATTACATACTTTCATACTTTTAAATACACATTACTTAAAGCAAAAGTTAAAGGAATCAATTTGATTAAAGTAAATAGCTTTGTTCAAAAGTCAAAAGTAATTTTTGACAATGATTACTAAAAGACAAAGCTAACACCAATTAAAGGAAGCATAATTAAAGCAAAGCAGATTCCTTCTTAATGATTGAGAGTGAGGCCTTAATTATTGCAATATTTTGGATATATTTTTGATCAGATGATAGATTGAATCATCTCTTTTCCTCTTTTCTGAGTCACTTAGTAGAGAGAGATTCGGTGAAGAGCTATTCCTTATCGAAGTCTTCATCCATATCTTAAGAAAGTTTAGGGATAGTCATGTCTTTTTGCTCTAAAAATAGTTGATAGGTTTGAATCTTTATTTCATATAGGTCTTGGTTATTTGGAGGAAATGATGGAGGGGTATATGATGATGCTTTATGATAAGAATCCATCCATGTAGCGTATCCTTTTTGAACATCAGTGTTAGAAAGCCATTCTAGATATTCATATTGAATAGTTGGTGATTGATCATTAGGGAGTATGGGCCGATGAGGAATAGGGCATAGAGATGTACACTTGAGGTTTAGATTTATTGCTAGTGAATTGTTCGTTTCACATAAAAATTCTTTTAATTCACTTAAAATTGAATTTTCATGTGATGGCCAATTGGTTGAGGTCTTTCATAGACATGCTTGGTTGGCCACATAGAGATTTCTACGAATACCAAGATGATAGGTATAATGAATGACAAAGAAGAAATAAGCCTTTTGTTCGGTCAATAGTTTTTCTTTTTCAATAGTTCATATGTTTCACTGACTTGAGAGAGTTCCTTGTGCCAGCTGGGTATTGGTGAAAACCAGTCAAGAAGCTTATAAAGGTTTGACCCTTCATTAGCAAAGTCATATAAATAATGATATATGATTAATGGAGGAAAAGCTAAGGCACATGCATAGAGGGTTGAAAGGGATGAGAGATATCATATGGCTTCATTTGCGATAAGTCCTTTTATGAAAGGTATGGCTAGGTATGGAGCTTGAATGTCAAAGAACTCAAGTTGAGATTGAATCTGAGTTTTTTTGAAAGAGAAGGTGGAGCCAAAAGAACAAACTCTTTTTGGCTAACTTGTTAACTTTAGGGACAGTGTTAGGACTATGGCCAGGTAGAAAAACTAGTTGACCATGTATCATGTTGAGAATGAAGAGAGGTTGAAGTTGTAAGGGTGTTATGAGATTGATCTTTTTTTGGGGTCTAGTGAGATAATCTGCAATGGTGTTGTGATTTTTTTTGATGTGTCGGACTGTTAATTTATAAAAGGGAGAACCAGTCCTTCCATCGTAGGAGTTGAGCTTCAAGGAGTATCTTTTTACTTTGAGCAAGGATCTTTAGGAATGATGTATTGTCCGTTTCTATCACAAAGTGATAAGGGATGAGATAAAAGCTAAAATTTTCTATGCCACGCTTCACAACTATGACTTTTTTATAGGTTATGTGGTACCACTTTTTAAAAAGTTTGAATTCACCATTGACATGGCCACACTAATGTCTTTTCTCGTTTTCTTCATCTATGAGTGCTGCTCCTCAATAATCAGCACTTGATTTTGTTTGCAAAATTCTCTATCTTTTGTCACGATTCCTTAATGGAGGAGGATGTTGACAAACTTGCTTTAAATGTTGGATAGCTTTTGTTTGACTAGATCCCCAAGAATAAAGTATTGATGTAGCTTTGTGGATCAGAAGTGTGTATATTATTTCAATAATAATATGATTATATACAGGTTACAAGATAAGCTAAATACAGAAAAAATAAACAATAAATCAGGTCCCCTTATTTTCTCTCATAATCTTGTCTTGCTATCCCTATAAATCAAGAGCAAGATAATTTTGAAATAATTTCTAATTATTTGTATTTCACATTCCCCCTCAAGTTGGATCATATATACTAATCATGTTCAACTTGCGCATACAATTTTCAAAGGTGGGCTTATGTAATCCCTTGGTCAACATATTTGCTGCTTGAAGATTTGTTGGTAAGAAGGTCAAACAAATTATCCCATCTTCCACCTTCTCCCTAATGAAGTGCCTGTCAATTTCTACATGTTTTGACCTCTTATGTTGAACTGGATTCAAGGCCATACTTATTGCAGCTTTGTTATCATAGTACAATCTTAGAGGTAGATCCAATTTCACATGAAGTTCTTCTAGTACCCATTTTAGCCATATTTCTTTCATTATGCCTTGAGCTAGTGCCCTTAACTCAGATTTAGCATTACTCTTGGAGACAACTCTTTGCTTTTGACTTTTTCAAGTAACTATATTTCCCCACACAAATGAGCAGTATCCAGAAGTAGATCTTCTATTTGGATGGTGTCCACCCTAATCTGCATCAGTGTATACCTCTATAGTTCTTCAATCATGTTTTTTAAACAACAAGCCCTTACCAGGGGCACCCTTTAGGTATCTTAGAATCCTGTATGCTGCTTCCATATGTTTTTTCTTTGGTTTGCAGATATACTGACTGGCTACACTTATTGCAAAAGCTATATCAGGTTGTGTATGAGAGAGGTAGATAAGTTTCTCTACAAGTCTCTGATATCTCTCTTTTTCTGGTGGGTTCTCTTTCTCCTCATCTTCTTCAGCTAGTTCAATTTCTTCATTGGAGTCTTCTTCTTCCGTTGTCTTGGTCTTCTGTCTCTTCTTTGGAACAATGATGGGTGTCTTAACAAGTTTACACCCAAACATACTTATTTCCTTTAAGAGATCAATTATGTATTTTCTTTAAGATACATAAATACTTTACTTTGATCTTGCAACTTCCATTCCTAAGAAGTACTTTAGCTTCCCAAGATCCTTAACTTTAAACTCTTGACTCAAAATCAATTTTATCCTCATTATTTCCACACCATGATCACCAGAAATGATTATATCATCAACATATACAATGAGAATACATTTCTTACCTCCTTCCATTTTGACAAACATAGTGTGATCTGATAGTCCTTGTTTATAGCCTTGAGACTTAAGGACTTGTGAAAATTTGTCAAACCATACTCTTGGTTATTGCTTTAACTAGTATAAGGATTTCTTTAGCTTACATACTTGATTACCTTTTCTATCATCAAATTCGAGAGGAAGAGTCATATAGACTTCCTCTTTCAAATCTCCATTTAAGAAGGTATTCTTGATGTCTAGCTGGTGTAATGGCCAGTCAAGGTTTGCTGCTATAGATAACAACACTCTGATGGTGTTCAACTTGGCTACTGGTGCAAAGGTTTCATGGTAGTCAATACCATATGTTTGTGTGAACCCTCTTGCTACCAACTGAGCCTTTAGTTTTTTAAGACTCCCATTGGCCTTATATTTGGGAGTGAACACCCACTTGCAACTCACAAGGTTCTTATTCTTAGGTTTGCTCACAACCTCCCAAGTCCCATTTTCCTCTAGAGCTTTCATTTCTTCTAAGACAGCCTTTTTCCATTCTAGTGAATTTAAAGCCACTTGGATGTTAGAACACTAACATCATCAATATTTGTAATGAAGGCTTGGTACTTGGGGGATAAGGCTTCATACGACATATACTTTTGAATTGGATGTTGTGTACAAGAATGATATTTCTTCCTAAGGGCAATAGGCAGATTCAAATCATTCTCCAATTCTTCTAGATCTTCCCTTGTATTATATTTTCACCAGGAACCTTTGTGATATTCTTATTTCCTTCAGCAGAATCTCTTACTGATTCTGAATTATGGTCTACCTTAGGTGTGATAGACTTAGTACCCTGCCTCCTCTTCCGTTTGTATATGATGGTCTCTTTTTCTGTGACACCTGTGTCCTTATTATCCCTTGTATTATCATGATCTTTTGTTTCTGGAAAAGAAGACTCAGGGGCAGCGGTAGACATAGGCTTAGGGGCATCAGTAATAGGAATAGGAGAGTACTCAAAGAACGATTGAAATTCACTCCAACTCTCCCCCTGAATTGAAGGAGTGGAATAAAAGGATTCATGTTCGGAAAAAGTGACATCATGACTAACAAATAAACATTTGGAGGAGGGACCAAAACATTTATAACCTTTCTAGGAAGAGGAATACCTAATAAACACATATTTGATGGCCCTGGGGTCAAGTTTGGAAGGGGATGTGAGATGAACAAAGACTGAGCATCCAAATATTCGCAATGGAAGATTAGTTTCAAG